CTACCAACCAACACTTGCCAACTTTACAATTCTACCACACCTAAATCATGGTATGAAAGGGATTTATTTTATGATATGTATGTTTCTTAGATGCTTTTTAACAATACTATATCATAAAAATTAGTTTATTGGGCATTTGTGGGGGGACACCCTTGTGGCTACCTAAAGCTATTAACTCTGATAGTGTGTTCTCCTTGCTTGCTGGGGCCCCTCACCCTGGGTCAGTCAGTTGTCTTTAGCTTTGTCTTTTGTTGGGTAGGGAGTGATTTTGGCTAGCAGGGCGCACTGGTGTGACACATGAGTTGTACTTAACCACACTGAGGTTGGCCTTCACAGCAGCATGTGACAGGCTGTGTTACCCTACTTGTATGTCATAACTATACATTTTCATAGGACTGCTTGATACCTGCTTGATGGGGTTCTGGAAGTTCTTCTACTCCCCCATGCCCAGCCCGAGGCCAGACTTGACTCATGAGAGTTTGGTCCACTAGGCTGTTGCTTGGAGTGGCCTTGAAGAAAATTATCTAGTTTTCTCTTGAAGATGTCCACGGTTGTTCTGGCAATATTTCTTATGCTCGCTGGGAGGATGTTGAACAACTGTGGACCTCTGATGTTTATACAGTGTTCTCTGATTGTGCATATGGCACCCTTGACATAGCATAGCTAATTGACATAGCATCCCAGTGCCTGTGTATCCTGTTGGGCATATTTCCCCTGCAGTTCCTGAAACTCCCCTGTGGGTTTGGTGGACCTATGGGTATCCCCCTCCCAAATACACTATTACTTTGTGCTAGTTTGTAGGTTGCAAGTTGTCAGTGCCACATGGCAATGTTCATACCCTCTGCCTCCACAGGCTGCCTGTTGGGTCGCTGACAGCTTTGACTCTGAGTCATGTAGGGGTTTCCCTCCCATCATGTTGCTCTTCTTTCTGGACCTACTGGAGGGGTTCAGGCTTGTTGGGCAGCAACCAGTCTGGGTGTTCGGTTTTGTCATAGCAGTCTGGGTTTTTCATTTGGTCGGATGCCCCAGAGCTGCACCATTTGGTGTTTATGGCCCTACATTTAGAAGTGTTA